CTCTTGACCAATATTATTGAAGCATCATTTCAATCAGGAAAATTTCCTGACTTCCTGAAGGTATCATTGGTAATACCACTTTATAAAGGAGGAAATCAGGACGACCCTTCGCATATCCGCCTATTTCCCTAATTCCCATATTAGGAAAACTTATAGAAAAACTAGTCAAGCTGAGGATAACTGTATTTCTGTCAAAACATAAAATCATCAATGAAGAACAGTTTGGCTTTAAAAGTGATAAAGGCACTAATGATGTAATTTTCTCTCTTATGGAAAAAGTTTATACTGGAATCAATTGAAAAAAGTTTTTCGTATATTGGTGGTATGGAACTGAGATATATTTATCTTGACTTTTGTCTTTTATGAAAGTCGAGATTTCGTTCATTCTTAACCTAAACTTTTTTTTCCATATTATGTCATCTACAATACCCCTCGGGAAACCGTTAGTGGCTGCTATTTTCTGTATTGTACGTTTTTCATGTGTTAGAAGGAAAGTCAGAAGACGATGCACCAAAAAATTCAACCCAGCACGTTTGTGCTGTCCACAGTGATGTGAACTGTCAGGAATATACCTGTACGTGCTTGTTTCTTTTCTAAATATGTCGTATTCTAACCCTCCATCTTTGCTCTTTGTTAATTATTATTAATATTTTTTTTCACCGTAGTGTGAAAGCCCCGATACATTCGGGAGAGCGCTCCAACATTATCAACCAATGATCACTCCCCACACCGTGGGGTAAGTGATCATTGGGTCCGAGAATCATGTGCCCAGAGCAAACGCAGTGAGCCAAGAATGACAGCCTTCTGCATCTGTGCGGCTAAGATTTCTGCCTCATCATTATTATCTCTATCATTTTGTGAGATGCATCACTAATATTACAAATAATACCTCTCTCTACCTCCCTCTCTGATAAATTACAACCAAACTCATTTTGAGAATATTCTCCAAATGTGCTCAAGAAATTTAATCAGACCTACTGAAAGAATGCGCAGACACGGCAACAGCGCACGCGACGGCGACTCGCGGACGTACGTATCCATGAATCAGCAGATCTGTCGAGGTCGCGCGGGGAAGACGTTGCTCAGGCACGCGGTCGGCACTTTGAACAGCAGCCACCCGCGGTCATGGGCGGGGCTTTCCCACGAGCGCGAGCGTGACGCACACGGGCACGTGTGACCGCCGCTCGTCGTCCTCTCAGTGCTTCTCTCTCGCTCCGGCCGCCAGACACACGGTCACACCACCCACCTGTATTACAGACGCAGGTACGAGGCGCGGAGATGGAAAACGTACAACGGTGGTTATTTTGCCGCTACGAGCCGCATACCGAGGCCGAGCAGGAACGGACTTGCAGGAAGTTCGAGGAGATCCTTTTCAGGCTGAGTCGGGTCTCATCGAGTCGGTACGGGAATTGTGAAGATGATTCACACTTGGGGCAACAAAAGTCTACACATGAGTCTTTGACACAGTATTTTGTATACAGTAATTTCATAAAGGCTGATTTGTGGTTTGAATTTTCCTACGCGCAGACCCACGCGTCGATGTCTTAGGTCTGCGCAAACGACGAGTTTAAGACAGGCATGCAATCAAAGCGTTTAAACACTGCTCAACATAACAAATATTCATATAAACTGCTCAAAAAATACAGTCGATGAAAACCATGTTGGGCACATAAGAAAATTGTACAAATGATAATTTTGCATTTGTATAATATTCAAGTAACCCAGATCATTTCGACAATGATGAACTATGTTTCAAGTAGATTTTAAAAATTCATGGGATCGGATGTGACAAAATATACTTTAATTTCAACAAGAAAAAAGACAAGATGAAGAACGAGTTTTGTTATTCATGAACCATGGTACTGTGCAAGAGCTCTCTAGGAGGAATAACGAGTCCCTGTGTGTATACAACCGTGATAGCATGGTCTGCACTGATGAGGAACACTTCAAAACGGTTCGCAGTTGGTTCCTTGTTCGAATCAGGCGAAGTCCCACTATTTGTCCTAGAGAGCTCTTGCAAAGTTGTTTCTTCAAAGTGAGAATCTTTGCAATTATGTCTGAGGCGACTTGGATTCCGAAAGGTTAACAGTCGTAAGGTATTTTTGATAGTCAAATTTACATTATATAAGAAGTTGCTGACTAATAGGACATGTTTCATTTAGAATAACTGTTTTTAATCTACGCAGCAACTTTTCGGGGTTGATTAGACATCTAGACTTGTATAGATTCAAATATCAACATTTGTCAATATATGTCGAGTTATTAGCTAAAGAAGTAGTTGTTTTCTGTCGGAAAACATATATAAT